TACTTGTAATAACCCTCACCACTGCCTACCGATAAACACTGATTACCGTTAAACTGAACTGATCATGACTGATAACTGAACTGATTAAAAGTACTGAACTGACTGACTGAAATTGAAACTGAATTGAATGAATACATCTGTTTGAATTGCATTTTATCTGTTGACTATTTGTTTGATCTGTTCATGTCTTATGTTTACACTGCTAATTGAAGGCCTTATCGGCGGCCGAATCCGGAAGTGATTGATGTTTTATGATCATCATGATTAATGTGATTTTGTGGTATAATTATCTGAAAACTGATTAGGTATGATTAAATTAGATTAAAATAAGCTAATTAAAGAGTTGGCCTTAGTTACCAAACTAACCCTTAAGTGGCCCACTCAAAATAACATATTTGAGCCTTATGTTACACTTAAGCACACAATTCATCAGCCATTTTCTTGCTTTTGCCGACCATAGAGAGAGAGGAACTAGAGGAGTGAATTTCATCTCATTTTGCTTATAAATTGCTTGGTAATTGAAGGAATTGGAACATAGGTTGCAAATTAAGCTTCCTCACCTTGTAACTAAAGCTCTAGGTAAGGAATTCAATCCCTCTTTGTTGTGTTTAAGCTTATTCATGCAAGATTCTTGAGCCTCTAGTGATTCAAGTCTAGAATTGGTTCTTTGTTGTTGAATTAGAGCATAATTCATGCATGCATGTTAGTGTTGTTGGAGTTTGAGTTGAGTTCATGGCAAAATGTTGCATGCATGTTCACAATTATGTTCAAGTCCATGATTTCATCATGTTTTGGAAACAATTGGCTCCTTAGAGCATCAAATTGAAGCTTTGAATTGGTTTGAATTCATGCATGTTTGCATGTTCTTCATATTCTTGAAAAATGGTTTGAAATTGAGTTTGAATTAAACACCCTTGGGCTTGATTTCTCAAATTGAGCTTTGAACCATGTTATTCTATGTGTTTATAAATGTTTTCCAGAAAATGGGCCCAAGAGGATTGGTTTTGATGCATTTGGATGTGAGTTTGAGCTTGGAGGTGCAATCTGGAATTCCCAGATTTTGCACTTACGCTCGAGCAAGGTAAGTGGCGCTCGAGCGTGGAATCCGAGCATCCAGCATCTCTCTGCACTGTTTTGCAGTCCGCTCGAGCGGAGGATTGGGCGCTCGAGCAGAGTCATGTCTCAAGCTCGAGCGGGCGTCGAGCGGAGATTTCACTCATCCAGTACTTTTACAGTACGCTCGAGCGGGAAAGTTTACGCTCGAGCGTGTACCTTTGTTGCATTACCGCTCGAGCGGGGAAACCTGCGCTCGAGCGGGACTCTGTTTTGTGCTAAATTCTGAAACTGCTTTTTGAGTACATCTTTGCATCCTCATCCCATCCTAGGCATTCTTAGGCCTAGTTTAAGACATCTTAATGAGGATATAGATGTAGAACACACCGAGGCATTAGGGATTAAGTTATTATCCTTCCCAGCTGTGTAGCTTAGTGTGTGTTCGATCTGTTAACTGTGTAGGGTTGGCGACTGAGGAGACGCTCTAGCATACTGTAGCCCAAACTCTATGAGTAACGATTGTGTAAAGATATGTTCACAAATGATTATCTTCTGAACAACTGAACTGTACTATTTTCTGAACTGATTACTGTTAACTGAATGAATGTATGTCCTATATTCTGAACTGTATTGTGGCATCCTTAGCAACTACTGTTACTGACTGTTACTGTTACAGAGATCTCTGTCGGTT